TAATTGAAATGATGCTGCCTTAAAACAAAAACACCAAGCAGAAAATGCAGTTACTGTTTTCTTTTATTGATACTGCCAATGTGACTACCTTTACGCAGGCAGATCTTTCCTACATTAAATATATTTCTATTAATTTGGAAGTAAGGTTTTGCCCTCTCTACCCCTCAGGTCACCCATGGACACACAGTTACACTTCTCAGAAGTTTCCACATTCTCTTCAACTTTCCCCCCCCTCCCCCCAGATCTGTGTAAAGGTTACTTGGCAGGAATACATGCATATGATGTTAAATGGAGACCAATCCACCACTAAAAGGTAATGCACATAAAACATAATACAGTACTTGGACATCATTTCAAATAAATACCCACATACAAATGTAGTTATTTTAAATGCAACAATATTTCTTATGAATCAATACTGTAACAGAAGATGGAAATACAAGTCCCCACGTCTAGGAATAATAACGCTTTTTCCAGCAAACAGAAAACTTTTCCCCACTGTCAATATTATCTCAATTTGTACTTTTTTTGAGGAGTGGGAATGTTCCCCCCCAGCAAGTACCAATTTAATCATTCCTGTAAGCCTCAACAAACAGCTGAGCAATAGGCCCAGCTTGTTGATGTACTTTGTTTCTGTTTCCTGAAATTACAATTAGATACAACATGCAAGAGAAGATAGCAATGCTTTGCTGTTCACATTTGCAAACAATACTATGGTTAAATGCATCCACCACCACCAAGCTAACATAACATCAACATTCCCAATATGCTCTCTGTACTGTTACCACAAATATGTTAATATATCTTGCTTCTTAGTTCAACACAAGTCCGTTTGGTTCCCACAGTGTATTTGGGTTTGTTGGTTTTGTTTTGTTGTTTTGTTTTGTTTTTTTCTCTACAGCCCTGAATTTGCAAGGAGTTGACTGATGAAATATCACTGACTAACAGAATTTGTTACAATTCCTTGAATATATAATCTCTATAGTAAGACTACCCATTAAAATGTGCGAAGGGGGAGTTCACACAGTTTCACTTATTGCTCCATGTCTTCAATAAATTCCAAACCAGCTATTCCATTTCTTCTAAGTTACAGGACTTAGACTAAGCTATTCTAAGAGTCTCCCTTAAAATGATTAAAGGCACTACTGGCAATAATTAATGACAGAAAGGCGCTGATATATAACACCCTATCACTGACAACTTTAGAATTTTTTCTTCTAGATGTACCAGAATTTGGCACAATAAAATGAAAAAGTAACAAAACAATTCCAATTTGGAATTTAACTGGTATAGTTGTATAAAATTCTGTTAATCAATAATACTTCAACTTCCTAGAACCCAGGAATTCTGGAATTTATAGGTAATACTACTCTTATTTAATATTTCTCAAGTGCCTATTACTGTTTTAACCAGAGCAGAGTCAAGTTTTCTTCTTGTTACATTGAACTATTCCTAAGAATAATAATACAATATGAAAAAAACCCCAGAATTTGAATACCCTGGATTTCTTAACTAACATGGCAGTTAAAAAAAAAAAAAAATAAAAAAAACCCGATCAGTAATTTAAACATATAAAGCTTAATATTCTATAATAAAAAAGCTGCTGAAGCACAGCAGTTTAGCAGAGCTCCTGTTTTCTTGTTGAAACTCTTTTATAACCACAATCTAGAGTCCCCGAAAAATCTCTGCCACATGCTGATGTAGAATTCAAAAATCACAAGCCCAAACTGGAGAGAGACTATGAGCACAAACTACTGCATTTATATAAATCATTCTACAAAAGGAATTAAAGAAGCTAAAGAAAAAATATCAAAATATCAAAAGTGCACAGGTTTAACAATCAATCAGATAAAAATGAGCATCTGTAATGAAATAAGAAATTCCTCCATCTGAACATTTCTAGTAGATCATAAACTAATGTGGTGATCTTTACATTTGAAGTAGGTTTCTTCAGCACTTGTAAGTTTTCTTACTGCAGCAGCACTTTTAGGTAAAGCTTGTTTGTTTTATAGCTTCAGACAAAAAGGAAGTTTCAGGTAGTATATATAGGAAAAGGTGTTTTCAAAATTTAGGATCAGGTCAGTGGTTTTCATTCTTTGTGCAATGGGCTACCACTTTCAACCATAATGAAAAAGGCTAAGAAATGCTGTTGCACTGATGGAAAGGCCTTCTCCAGGGACTATTCTACAGCTGGAAAATGGAAAAATAAAATAGCATTAGGGAAAAAAAAATCAGAATCAGTGTTTATTTCTCAATTAAAGAACTGAAAACAACGTGCTGCAAAAGCAGGTTAGTTGGCTGAGGGTGTCTGTTAGCTTACTGGGGTAAAAGCAGCCACCTTAGCTCGACAATGAAACAATGCTGTACAGGTTTAGCCTGGAAGCAATAGCTTTGCAGAAAGAAGGTTTCTTACAAGTACTGAATAAAGCTTTGCTGTTCAAGCACAACTTAATAGCAATGAATGTGCAAGAAACATTTTCAGTGAAGCTTTAGGTTCTCAGAAACATGCAGGTCAGTTATATCATGCAGGCCAATGCAGAGAATATCATTCAGAAGAAGAGCCTGCTTGCAGAGGTAGGTGACGGCTTAAGGAATTTTCCATGCTTTATCCCAACCCATTGGAAGTGATAAGAAGGACTTACAGAAAATGTACATTTCAAGAAACTGTTAATCAAGAATGACAAGACTCAATCTTAAATATTATCTAAAACTATAAACAGCAGGATCAAGTCACCTTACCACCATTCTTCACTTGTTTTTGTAACATGCGCTCCACGAAGTCAAACCATAACTTTGACAAGCTCAAACAGCAGTCAGGTTGGCCTTTTTGCTTTTTTTTTTTTTATGATTCAAAGAAATTAATGAAGACGAAAATGACTACTGAGACTATTGGCATAATAGCAAAATTGCTCCTACTTGGAACTGAAAGCATAAGCCAAGACTGATAGTAATAATCTAGTACCACTGTCTGTCTGGTACCACTGTGGTAACACTGAAATCTTTAAAGAAAGTTCCAGTTAATCTGAAATAAATGAACAATGCATCCAATTACTTTTTCCAATTTACCTTTTTGCCACTAGAATTTTGCAAAATTACTGCCATTAGAGACATGGAAGCAGTGAAAACTGTATTAAAGCTCCCTAACTTTAGCAGTGGAAGCAAAATTGTAACTGTTCCTATGGAAGCAGAGAAAGTTAGCATTCAAATGTGGCTTTTACAAAGTATTTTTAAATTATTCTTAATGCAAGAATGAAAAGAATAAAGGCCTTTTGGAAGACTGTGCAGCAACAAGAAAAGCAGGATTGAAAATTGTTAAAAGATGTCTTGCTTCTAAAATATCAGACCTGCTACTTAGCAATATTAAAGCTCAAATTCAGGAGAACTTACTGTTTTCTGAAAAAAAAAAAAAAAAAAAAAAAAAAAAGTAATAATAGATGCACAGGGCTTGGTTTCCTAAAGCCAGAATTGCTATTTCTTTAAACTTCTCAAGCAGTGATGTTTGAGCAACATATGAAAGTTAAATCACTTTTTCCTCCTCTCAGTAACCGTAAATGCAATTCTGGCATTGAGCTGTGGCATTCCAGTGTTCCCACCCCTGTAGCAAGGTTTCTAATATTCCATTTGTTTAAACGATGATAGTCTGACTGTATGAATTTAGAAGTGTTCCCCTTCCCCCAATATCTGGGAAGCCAAAATCCCCTGGAGTTTCCTCTCACTGGAAAAACAAGCTGTGCTCCTTATTACCTTATATTAGTACTGTGATATCTCCTGACTACTTGTAAGCAGAGTTGCAATGTGCAGGAAGCAAGCTGCTGATCATCTACAAGAAATGGTAGTGAGATGAGGCAGTACCACACCAGGAGTATTAGAATGGCTTTATAAAACCGCACAACCAAGCAGGCAACTTGCAGTCTCGCATTGCTTTTAGTAATACTATAGGCATACAAAATTACTTGAAAGAGTACAAAATGAACAGGGCTTTACATTAAAATAAAGCTTGAGGCACTTTAAAACTCTGGTTTAGAGAAGTGTGCCTTGCTGTGCTCCACAAGTTTTCCACAATTTTAGAAGCATTTTCAATCTTTTTCTCTTATGTAGGCACCAATTATGAAGTACACTTTTATATTATCAAACATATTGTAATTAAGTGGCTAAAAAGGCCTCTTAGAAGTTTAATAGCAGACAAAGGTTTACTTGTTTTTAAAGATTAATATGTATACTAAGCTACTTCATTAGCAGAATGATCTGGTTCAATTTCCTGTGCCTATAATGTAGAGCCCTGTGAAACACGTGCTTGCATAAGGAATGCAGTATCTTTTGTGTATTAAAAAAAAGAAAATGATCAGAGCTCTGAAATACTAATCCTATTTAGGTTAATACTGAATGCTGAGAAAACCTATTTTGTGACCGACAATACTAGACCATAGTCACATTAATTCTACACATATATATTGTGTGGCTACAGTAATATATAAAACAGATTCTTTCCAAAGAGTTATGTTGGCAAGGAGCAATATGAGACCACAAAGATCCTTTCAGAACATGACACTTTTCCACAGCATAACTTCTTAAAGTGGAACTGTCTACCAGGTAGGATCCCAATTCTTCAAATTTTAAGTTTTATATCAGATGGGGTAAATATTGCATATTTTTAATATAAATGTGCAATTTTATTCTGTTAACCCTCTGAAGAGAGGGAAGCAGAGTGTAAATAGTGTACCCTACCAATATTTCTTCTAGCTTTTATAGCCTATAAAAACTTTAGGCCTTTGGACAGTGGTGATCTGACAGCAAGTTCTTAGTATCTGCCACAATAGGCAAATTAAGTTTGGTTCCAGATTCAAAATGCTCTGCATTTTAATATTTGCTTTTCACCACTTCTTAAGCCACAATAACAAGGAAGGTTTTCTGTTTGTTTCTGCCTGTAAACACTTTTACCGAAGTATGCTGCAACCCTGGAGAAAGGATCACGTTTGTATTATACAAACTACAATTAGTAGCACCAGATATGCTATATCAGGTGAACTCTTAACATTTACCATAAACAGCAAAACCCATACATGTTAATTGTGGAAAAAAGCTAATTCCTTTCCACTATTAACTTGTTAACAGCATCCCCATACTTATGAATTAGTTACAGTTAAGACCACCATAATACAATTTGTATTACCTGGTTCAACAACATACTAGTACAAGTCAACTCACTGCGACATTAGATAGTGGGGATTTACGCTGACAGTTACAGCATAAAATAAGATGCATAATGTGATTTTTCTACATACCTGTCCTAGTCACAATAGATTTTATATTTCTCATTACAAAACACCTGGTTGTTAAGGACAGATCCTTCAGACCTGTCTCCGCAGGACTGAATATGACTTACGCCTGGGTTACTGCTCTTGGCTTTGGAAGCAGATTTTGTGCGCGCCCTTTTGGACTGCTCATGGTCAAGCTCCAAATGTTCCAGGCGCTGGGTCAATGCCAGTTTCTGCTGGATAGCCATCCGAAGCAAGGAGTTCAGAGTCTTCTTCTCATCCTCAGCTGCTGCAAGCTGCCGCTGCATTTCATCCAACTGTGTGACATACTCGTCACATCTGCAATGAAATATAGCAATCTTTAGCAATCCTGTTTCCATCTATAACACATGAATCCCTTGTGTCTGACCAATATTAGCAGGGATAGCTTTGTAGTTGCTTGCATATACACTCTTTTAAATAGGAACTTCAACCACACCTGTAAAAAACACAATTACTTTCACTGGAGTTCTTACAATCCCACACACCACACGTTCATGCCTTTCAAGATGTAGTATAATTAACAACATCCTTAAATTATGAAAGTGTGGAGCCTGATATAAAAGTACCCATGTCTCAAGATTAGTCAGATTTCCTTCCATAGTGGGTAGACACAATGCAGTCAAGTTACTTTTGTCTCTACTTATACAGAGACCACTATAGTTCTAACCTTTAGGCTGCAGTCTGAGGAGTGCTGTAAAATGACCATTGCTAAAGTAGCTATTATGCCAGTTGATGAGCATCTGAAATTCATAGTTTGTTACTTCACACTTTGAGTTGAAAAGATCATTTAGTTCAACCCATCAGGGGAGGGATGCCCCACCCTAGACCATGTTGCCCAAGGTTCTATCCAACCTGGCCTTGAACACTGCCAGGGACGGCTCATTCACTTCTTTGGGCAACCTGTGCCACTGCCTCACCACCCTCAGAGTAAAGAAAAAATAACAGATTTCCACTGGTGACTGAGCAGCATTGTTACAAGCAAGCACCTTTCATGATTCTACTTTAACCTATTCAGATTCCTAAAAATTCTATAAACATGGGTTTATTACTGTTATCTCTACAGCAAGTGGCCTTTATATAATTGTTTTCACCATCAAAATTAATTTTAAAACAGTTAAACAAAGGAAATGAGTATTACTGGGAATGCTGTAGGGGGGAAGCTGAATATATGCCTGCAAGCTGTTTCATCTATGGTCATTTTCACTGAATCTGGAAGCTACTACTTAAACTGCACACTGCGTCATGGAAAAACTAACGTCTTTAATGTAGATGCATATTCATTGCATGCGCAGAAGACCAATTACGTGTATGGTAGAAAAATAAATATTCATAGGTGCCAGCTGGAATTTACAATGGCCACACCTGTAAAATAAAACTTCTTCATAAAAGCAAAAACACTCACAAAGAAGCTCCTTTTAACATTAAAGTGGAAAACCCCCCTGACCTGATGTGACATTTATCATCATTTATTAAGGGCCAAACCCTATCCCATTTGCCATGAGTACTAAAGAGGAACAGAGTCTGAAATGGCCCTAGGAGGTCTGAAAAGACAACACACCTTGTGGGCACAACATCCTCCCCTTTCAGTGAAGGCAGCACCAGCTCCAAAATGGGGGCATGGCTACAGAAATGAGCAGCTCACAGCATCACCACTAACCCTGCAGCGTGCTGCTCTGCATTGGCAGAGATGTATTTTCTTCACTCAGCGGGAAGCAAGGCACAGACTGAAGATCACTGGGAGGCCTGAGGAGTTTCCCTCCAGTTTTCAAACACACTCATGACATTCGAGGTGAAAACCATATCATGAGTTACCTTTCTTCTTTAGTTTCTACCCACACCTCAAACCTGATTCCTTCAAAGCTCCACTACTGCAAACCTGGGGAATGTCCAGAAAGTGTTACAAATTCCTTGAGGAATGTAATGTGATTACTTCAGCAGAACATGAACTGGCACTGGAGTGACCTGTCCCCAATTACCCTTATTTCACTCTCAGTATTAACCTCCCAAGAGACATGGGCAAGGTGAAATTATGGGAATTTTCCCTGCTCCCCCTTTTCCAGCTCCTTTCTTGTGAATCAAAATGTATCCACTTTTTTTTTTGGTACAGAATAGTATGTTAAATAAGACCTAGGGTTTCCAGCGCAGTGAAGCAGTGTCAAGATGGCTGCAGACTGTCTACTTAGAGGTGATAATCAAAGCCAGCCAAGGCAAGTGGCAGGTTTCTCCCTGACCCCCTGCCCCATTTAGAAATAAAAGAGGTGATAAAAAGAAAACAAAACCATTGCAGTAAAACAGAGTAGGGACTTGCCACACAGTCTTGCTTATGTCCCTTCATCCTCTTCTCTAAATGTTTCTGGTATTATTCAAATGCCTCTTGATCTAACACAGTGCCAAACCTGAGAGCTGACTGGTAACACAGACAAAGGTTGTTGAGTCTAGAAGGCAGTACAGTCGTTCAGATATGAGCCAAGCTATAATTAAAGTCCTGATTTTGATTCTAAAAGGTTATTGTAGCAAGTCATTATCTCATCAAGCTTTCTGTTAGCACAGAGGTTTAAAATTACAACATCAAATGACTCTACTTAGAAATTACAAGGCATTCACTATTTCAAATACCTAAATTAGATTCCACATCCCTCCCTCACATAAAACTCAGTGCAAGGAGTTCTTCCTTCCTTTTCAACAAAAAGGAAGTGTTACCAGTAGCATTCCTGCAGCTGCAGTTTTTACTGTATCCTAGTAAGTGTTCTCTCCTATACAGAGGAGGATTAGGGAAAGGCAGGAGCGTTAACTACTGTGACAACACACAGTCATGCATCCTGAACCTGGTGTCCTGATCTTTAAGTCAAATGAGGTGATACAGCCTCAAAACCAAACCCTGATGCAAGCATGGCTGTCCAGGGTCAGAGGAACACTACACTATGCAAAACACAGCAACAGCTCACTTGATCAGAACAAATGAGGGTTGAAAAGTTTCCTAGAAGTGCATGTAGACATTGCATGTGGAGAGGGATCTGCCTTCCTTCTGTTCACTGACTCCAAATTTCATTTTCTCCAAAAAAGTTAGCCTCCCTAAGCACTGAAGAGGACACAGCCTCTAACACTGCTCTACCTAGTGGTAGTAGCTACGTATTGTTGTGGTATGTGTATCTATTCTTGTGGCTTCGCAAATACAACAATAAAAGATCCTTCCCTTTTCCAATTTCATTTGCCATGTGCTAAGCTACTTCCCAGCTGCATATTCAATACAAAAGCCAACGACGGAAAATGTCGTTGTTTTAAAACCATCTTTGAAAGAAAATAATTGAGCTTTCATGCTTTAAAGAAGAATATGAAATTAGTATAAACCTGCTGTACATTTTCACATTCACAGTTTTAAGTGGACAGTGAACAGACGGCTTTGATGTTGCCTGTTTTCTTATGACTGGTAATTAACAAAAAGGGAGCTTAAGGAGACATCAACTAGATTTTTAAAACCACCACCAGCTGAATCACGTATCTACACAGACGAAATATCCTCAATGATAAATATAATGATAAGAAATAAAAACTGAATCCTCTAAAACACTATCTGATGCCAAATTATTGAAAACTAGAAAAAGGGTTGTCTTGTTTTCAAAAGCTGCATATCACTGCTTCCCACAAATGCCAGTTGTGTCATATTTCTACATACCATTTTATTTAAGCTTTAGCTTGTACTATATTCAATAACACTTATAGCTTAATTAAGTACTGAATCAAGATCTGTTCCAGAAAAAAAAAGGGACGTAACCAAATGCACCTAGACATAATTCCAACTTTTCCCCCTCCTCTGCAATCAGTATGAGTATCACATGACAACTTCTAAGAAAGCAAAGCAGAGGTGACTGAAGGAAACCTTTAACTTTTAGCTCAAGAGGTCACAAGACCTGCATAAGAGATTAAAACAGGGAGGATGAAAAAAAGAAATCACAATTTTTCAGCTTTATTAAACACTGGAAACATATTAGCAGATAAGCTGTTAAAATAACATTAATGAGCACTGACTGCATTCTGCTATAAGTGATATTAGCCAGCTGCTATTTCAAACTGAACCTTTACATTAGAAATTAATATTAATGGGTGAATTTTACCACCTTCCCCCATCTGACTGCAGGAGTGCTGAGTGTGTATCTTTTAGACATTCTTAGGCTTGCACAGTTGTAAACCATGCACATCACAGCTTCAGTAATGTGGTCTTCAAGTATCCCTGAAGAACAAAATAAAGCACAAATCCTGAAGAAGGCAGAAGAAAGAAACCCCAGCTTTAGGCAGTTTATAGATAAGCAAGTTTAAGGGAGTATCTATGGAAACCTTAGCTAATTGCTGATTTTCCTCAATACCTTGATCTCATCTGAGTTGTTTATTTGAAGGGAATAAATACTTTGGCCTTTATTTGTATAAATCATTGTGATTTCCACTAAGAACAGAATGGTTTATAACCAGCTACAGTTTTCCAGAGTGTTGCTAATCAGCCATGTATAATCAATGTCCATTAGTAAAAAACACTAAATAAAGTAATCAGGCCACAAATCTCTCTTGTAATTTGAAACATATTGGAAGAATTATCTCCAGCACTGAGAAGGAACAATCAGCTCCACAGCGCTGGACACTGCAGCTCTTCTATATGTTCACTGATAAAAACTCTCAAAGAGGGCTCATAAACTTTATGGCAAATTCCCTCCTCCTAGAATTTAAAAGAAAGCTGCTTTTGTATATTTAAAGGTTGAAATTAACAACCCTATTGAACTAGATTATAAGGAAGTTTAAAGCTATCACGCAGGCAAGACATTTTTCCCAGTTCTTCACTGAAAGGGATAGCAAGGGCTGAAGGATCTAATCCTGAACTCTCTATCCTCTTCTACCTTAGACCACTGAAGATGTGCAAGTGCTTTGTTTTTTACAGACTATGAGCACTGACACTTCCTATTAATTGCCAAATGAAACCAAGACTCGCCTGTCTAAAACACTATGGATACAAATAACTGCCACTGCAGTAGTCTCCTATATCAGGTAAAATAACTTGCTTTCCATTTTCATTAAAAACAAAAGGGCAAACGCACAACAACAGTTGGTTGTTCATTACTCTGAATATTTCTAAGGCACCTCCTGTGGCTTACTCTCCTTAACAGCAGGCATACAAGCAAAGCACCACACACCCAGGAATTAATGGTGTGGACACAGCCACTTAAAAAAATATCTGAGAGAAGAAGAGTGTGAACTCCTTCTTGCAACCAGGTCCAGGGTCTAGTTACAAGGGGCACAATCACCAAGGCTGA